TATTATTTTAGTATTCAATATTGTAAACACTAATTCAACATAAAATAATTTTTATATATAATTATTCTCTGCACAAACAATCATCCTCTTTAGAGCTTGAAGAGGAAGGTGGAAGAGTTGGAGTTGGTGGTAGAAAGATTAAAAAGCAAATTAAAAAGTGTTGGAGGTAAATATCTCGAATGTAAATGTTGGGTTATACATTGAAGGCTGATAAATATTCTAGTTATTAGTCGAAACTAAGGGCGCAAACATATTGCCGAGTTGTAACCTATTCTTACGACACCTATATGATGTAAAAAGGTTGTAACCCTTGCAGCTAAATGTTGAATGGTCGTATGCTGTGTGTTATGCCGTGTGCTGTATCATGTGCCGTGTGCCGTACATTATTCCATATGCCGCTTGTTGTGTTGTATGCAAATTTAACTGCCATATTGCCGTACGTTATATGCCATATGTTATGCCATATGCCAACATAGCTGCCATATGCCATACATTATGCTGATGTGCTGTATGAAAATAATTAAAAAATTTTTTTTTCTTCAAAAAAAAAAAAAAAAAAATCTTAGAATTAGAAAATCTTAATTACATATATATAGAAAAAAAATCATTGAATGACGATGAATCACCAAAAACGATATTTTTATTATCTGAGAAGTTGAGTTATCCTTAAAAAACCAGGTTTTCCTGTTGATAAATTTTTTGATGACATAAGTCAGGGATTATGGCATTCGGCACATGATATGGCATGAGTCATGGACCACCGAATTGGGCAAATGATATGGCATAAGTTAGGGTTACGGCATTCAACACATGTTATGGCATACGGCATATGATATTAATATGTCATTTGGTGCACATGATACGGCATACGGCACATGGAAAGTGACGCATTGCCGTGTTTATGCCGTACTAATGTCATAACCCTCAAGTGTTCATATGTTTGCACCCTTAATCGAAACTATTTATAGAAACAATTAATTGTAACAATTACGATCTAAATCAATAAAAAATTAAAAAAATTAATTTTAAATCTTTTAATTTTACAAAATTGAAAAATAGAAAGTGAATTAAACGATGCTAAGGAGATGTTGAGAAAGGCGGAGGTGAAGTTGGAGGAGTGGGAAGTGGGGAAGTATAAAGGGGTGAAGTTGAACAAATTAGAAGAGAAGTTGGAAGAAGAGAATGTGAGTGAAGCAGTGAGGAAGAATTTGGAGGAAAGAAGAGATAGGTTGTTGAAAGAAAAAGAAAGGTTAGAGGCGGAGAAGGGAGATAGGTTGAAACAAGTAGAATACTTGCAAAAAAAATTAGTAGAATTCGGTAAAGGAGAAGGTAATGAACAAATTGTGTAAAAAAATATACAAAAAATTATTTTCATTCATTCCATTTCGTTTATTTATTTATTCATTTGAGAGAACATTTTATTTGGTATGCTGTTTACAACTTTAATTAACACCAATTCATTTTATTTATACATCCATCTATGCATTCCCAATATTGTTGCAGGTGCAGAGGAAGGAATATTGCAAAGAAAGAGACCGCTAGAGGAATATGAAGAAGGTAGGTTCTTGTGAATACATCATTTAGAGCAAAACTGTTACTAAGTTATGAATTAAATTTCTTTTGCAGAACAAAGAAAGAAGTTATAAAATGGTTCGGATTTTGTTTGGTATGTTTTGTATAAATTAATCATTTTCTCAAATTCTCTGCTTCTCTTTAATTTTTGTCTGACCAACTGAATTTGTTATTTTAGTAAATGGAGGTAGGGTTGTTGGTAAGTAAGCATGCCACTGACAAGGCAGGGGACGCCTTTGGGATATGCCAGCCAAACTCATGGAAAGGGATCTTTTGTCCAGACTTAAGGTCACATGGATGTTAAGCACAGAAAATGTACACTATCAATGTATGTTTTTTTCAACAAAATAAACATTTAAATAATTAATTGTTAAATATTAATACTTTTCTTTTCATAAAAATTACAGCAA